TCCGGGCTGGGGATTCGAACCCGCCACCTTAGGTGTACGTGGCTGGCGCCTTAGCCGGTTGAGCTATAGGCGCCGAGCCAACAGATAAAATTCTTATACTGTTTAAAAACTTCTGGTAATTTAGAAAAGGGGCCTTTCTATTTTTATGTGTGTGTGACAGATTCAGTTCGTTTTGTTTGTTTAGATTTTTCTTTCCTTTAGTTCCTTTTGTTTCACATGAAGGCCTATCTCATTTTATTGTACTTCGCAGATAACATGGTTTTTACAAATTGAAAGTTTGTAGCAACCCTGTGTCAAGCACATCTGTTGGTGCCATGTGCTCACTTTGGTCTCTGTGTCACATTTTGGTGATTCTCACAATATTTCCAACATTTCTTTTTTTCAGACAGAGTCTCACTTTGTCACCCTCTGTAGAGTAATGTGGCCTCATAGCTCACAGCAACCTCAAACTCTTGGGCTCAAAGGATTCTCTTGCCTCAGCCTCCCAAGTAGCTGGGACTACAGGTGCCTACCACAATACCTGGCTATTTTTAGAGATGTGGTCTCGCTCTGGCTCAGGTTGATCTGGAACCTGTGAGCTCAGGTAGTCCACCTACCTCAGCCTCCTAGAGTGCTAGGATTTCAGGCGTGAGCCACCACGCCCAATCTCCAAACTTTTGTCATTATCAACATATCTGATCTGCGATCAGTTACCTTTGATGTTACTATTATAATTGTTTTTGGGTACCATGAACTGTGCCCATATGTAGGTAAGATGGCAGTTAATAAATGTTGTGTGTGTTCTGACTGCTCCACCATTCTCCTATCTTTCTCCTTCTTCAGCCTCCCTATTCCTAGAGAAATGACAGTGTTAAAATTAGACTGATTAATAACCCTTCAGTGGCCTCACTGTGTTCAAGTGAAAGAAACAGTCTAACATCTCTCACTTTAAATCAAAAGCTAGAAATGGTGAAGGCATGTCAAAAGCTTAGATGGGTCAGTTTGCACCAGTTAGCCAAAATGTGAATGCAAAGGAAATGTTCTTGAAGGAAATGAAAAATACTACTTCAGTAAACATACAAATGATAAAGCAAAACAGCCTTCTTGCTGATATGGAGAAAGTTTGAGTGGTCTGGATAGACATTCAAACCAGCTACAACATTTCTTTAAGCCAGGCTGGGCATGGTAGCTCATGCCTATAATCCTAGCCCTCTGGGAGGCTGAGGCAGGTGAATCAATTGAGCTCAGGAGTTCCAGACCAGCCTGAGCAAGACGGAGACCCCATCTCTACTAAAAATACAAAGACTAGCTGGGTGTTGTGTCAGGTACCTGTAGTCACGGTTACTTGGGAGGCTGAGGCAAGAGGATTGCTAAAGCCCAAGAGTTTTGTTTTTTTTTTTTTTTTTTGAGACAGAGCCTCAAGCTGTCCCCCTGGGTAGAGTGCCGTGGCATTACAGCTCACAGCAACCTCCAACTCC